CCTGGTGTTCCATTTTCCCTCCTCCCTCCCACCTGGGGCTTGTGTCCGTAAGAATGGGAATATTGGAATAAATACCTTTGGAATAGCAGCAGCTCCTCTGAGGCCGGGGCTGCCGATGGCCCCTGGGATTCCTTCCCCAGGGATTTCTTTGCTTTTCCATTGTGGATGAAGCAAAGAGAAAGGGGAGCTCCAAAGGCACCAGGAAAATACTGAATTTTGGGGAAATGAGACCCGCTCACCCAGGGAAGGCAAACTGGGAGAGCAGGATCCACATGGTGTAGTCCTCGGCAAAACCTGGGCGCTGGATGAATCTGAGCAGGGTGAGAGGGACATAAAAAACCCAAAATGGTGTAAAGAAACCGGGAGAGGGGAGGGGGCTCCTGGTTCTTGTGTCAATGGGAAGCAGCAGGATGCTGTGGTCCCGGCTCGGGAGGAGCAGGATCTGAGCTGGAGCCGGGAGCAGGCCCAGGGAAGGGGCCCCGGAGGGGATCGGCCCCGCCGAGCTCCAGCATCGCCGCATCTCCTGCGGGTCCAGGCTCGCTCCCCCGCGGCACCGGGCCAAAGCAAACACCGGCAACCCGATCCCTTCCCGCGGCACGGGGGCCGCTGTTTATCCTGGAGCCGGAGCCGGGGGCCCCGAGCCGGAGCCCGGAGCCGCTCCCGAGCCGCCGGTTCATTCCCGGCGGTGCCGCCCGCATGGCGCTGCTGCTGCTGGCGGCGCTGCTGCTGGCGGCGGCCGCTGCCCTGCCCCGGACCGTGCCCGCTGCCCTGCCCCGGACCGTGCCCCGAGCCGTGCCCCGGGCTGTGCTCGCTGCCGAGCCCCGGGCCGTGCCCCCGGCCGTGCCCGCTGCCGTGCCCGCGCCCCGGGAGCTGGCGCGCTCCGTGCTGGAGACACACGGGCAGGAGCTGCGGCTGCTGCGGCTGCTGGGAGTCGCCAGGACGGTAGGAAAAAGGGCTGTGGCTGCGGGAGGTGCTGCCGGCTCCGGCACCCATCCCGTGCGGGGCTTTTCTCCCGGCAGAGCTTCGACTGGGGGACGCACTTCAGCATCAACTTCACGGCCCGGCAGCCGCCCTGCCCCAAGGGCGCCCCGGAGCCCCGCGGCTGCCGGGGCCGGCCGGGCAGGGTGAGCGTGGAGCGGGACCCCCAAAGGCAGGGGGGGGGTACGGGGGGGGTCCCCGGGGTGCTGAGGCCGCTCTGTCCCCAGGTGCAGCGCTGCTCGGCCCAGGTGTCCGTGTTCACCTTCCTGCCCGACGTGCCGCTGTCGATGGTGGAGTGCGGCCGGGAGCCGGTGAGGGGCTGCGGGAGCGCATCCTGGGGGTGGGACACGTGTGCCCCTCACTTCGGGGGGTGCTTTTGGCTCTGGAGTGAAACCCCCCCTTTATTTCTCCCCGCAGCAGCCCGGTGACAGCGCCCAGCCCCGCTCCCCTGGCACCAGCCCAGGTCACTCATCCTCATCATCCTCTTCACCCTCCTCATCATCATCCTCGGGCCCCCCACCGCGGCCTCGGGCCCCTCCCAGCGCGTCCCTGCGGGGACCATCCCGCCACCCCCTGTCCCCAAAGGAGCCGGAATAAAGAGATTTGGGGTCGGACATGTGTGTGTGTGGGGGTGACGGTTCGGGGGACCCGGGGGCACCCTCGGCCTTGGGCAACAGCGATGGGGCAAGGTCGGGGTTGTGCAACCCCACGGGCACCACCCTGACACGGGCAACGTGTCACCACCGAGGGGTCCTGGCCACCAAATCCCCCCCGAGCTCGGCCAAGGGGCCCCCAAATCCCCCCCGAGCCCGGCCAAGGGGCTCCCAGGGGTTCAGCGGGGACCCCGAGGGGTTCAGCTGCCACCGCCCATCCACGGGGACACGCTGGGACCCCCCCCGCACCGCGTGTCCCCCTCCCCCCCTCCCAAAAAAAAGGGCCACTCTGCGGTTTGGGGCCGGGCGTTTACCAAGGGTGGAGCCCCGGGGCGGGTCCCCAAGGTGCCCTGGGGGATAAAAGGGCCCCGGGGGTGGCCGTGGGGACAGCGATGGCGAGCTCGTGGGTGCTGCTGCTGGCGGTACTGGGGGGCGCCTGCGCCCTCCCCGCCCCGGCGCCCCTCGCCTACATCCAGGTGCTGAGCCAGGCCGTGGATTCCTACAACCAGCGGCCCGAGGTGAAGAACGCCTTCAGGCTGCTCAGCGCAGAGCCCGAGCCCGCCCCGGTGAGTGCTCCCCACCCGGGACCCCGCCACGGGTGACACTCCCGTCCCAATCGGGGACCCCTCCAGGCGTGTCCCCTCCACTCGTGGTGCCTGACTGGGGCTGCTCAGCTCGACCCTGGGAGTGCCCCCCGCTCGGGACCCCCTATTTGTGACACCCCTCCCCACTCGGGACCCCCTCCCGGTGCCACCCTCCCCACTCGGGACCCCCTATTTGTTACCGCCCCCCATTCGGGACCCCCTATTTTTAACACCCCCCACTCGGGACCCCCTATTTGTGACACCCCCCACTCGTGACCCCTATCCCTGTCCCCCCCCTCGGGGTGCACAGTCCGAGCCTGAGCCCCCATTGTGAGTGCCACCCCACTCGTGACCCCCTCCCGGTGCCACCCCCACTCCCGAGCCCCCCCGTGCTGTCACCCCCCTCCGGTGACCCGCCACCCACGCGTGTCCCCAGGGCGTGGAGCTGAGCTCGCTGCGGGGACTCAACTTCAGCTTGATGGAGACGGATTGTGCCGCCAGCGCCCGCATCAGCCCCGACGACTGCGACTTCAAGGAGAACGGGGTGAGGAGGAGGAGGAGGAGCGGGAGGAAGGGCCCCGGGGTCCCGGTGCCATCCCCAGGGTGACACCGCGTGTCCCCGTGTCCCCCCCAGGCCATCAGGGAGTGCTCGGGGACGGTGCAGCTCCTGCAGGGCTCCCCCGAGATCAACCTGAGCTGCTTCGATGCCTCCTCCGATGTGAGTGGGGGGATCCGGGGGGTCCCCGGGGTAGGGAGGGGAGGGGAGGGTCCTTCCCCTGCCCCACATCCCTGAAAAGGGACACCCCGAGGGCTCCGCTGCCCCGCGATGGCTCCAGAGGAGGGTGGGGGGTCCTGGGGAGCTCTGCTGGGTGTGGGGTGTTCCAGGTGTGGGGTCCTGGGGTTTTGGGTGTGGGGTGCAGGTGGGTTGTCCTGGGTGGGGTCCCAAGTGTTGGATTCTGGATATGGAGCCCCAAGTGTCACAAGTGTGGGGTCCCTGCTGTGGGGTCCTGGGGATGGGGTCCCTGCTGTGGGGTCCTGGGGGTGGAATATTCCTGGGGTCCTGGGACCGGGGACATGAGTGGTGTCCCTGCTGTGGGGTCCGGGGGATGGGGTCCCTGGTGTGGGGTCCTGGGGGTGGAATATTCCTGGTGTGGGGTTCTGGGGATGGGGACATCAGTGGTGTCCCTGCTGTGGGGTCCTGGGTGTGTTTCCAGGGGCCCTGGGTGGGGTCTCCCAGGGGGGTCCCACATTCCCGCACCCCCTGAGCCCCCCCATCGCTCCGCAGCCGGTTCTGATCCAGCGCGGCCGCTTCGGGCGCTTCCTGGGCAAGATCCGGCACTTTCGGCCCAGGGTCAAGTTCGACATCCGCCTGAAGGGCTCCGTGGGGCTGGGCTGAGAAATAAAGGGACCACCAGGAGTGGCCATGTGGGCACCGCGCTGTCCCTGTCTCTGTCACACGGGGAAACTGAGGCACAGCTGGGACACGGGGCTGCTCCCCCACATCGTCCTCAAGGGCTTGGTCCCACGGGGACGTGGGGTTGGACTGGGGACAGGGACGGGTTCGCTCTGGGGAGCCCCCGGGACCCCGGCCAGAGAAGGGACCACCATCATCCCCACGGTGTCACTGTCCCTGCAGTGTCACTGTCCCCACAGAGTCACTGTCCCCACGGTTTCACTGTCCCTTCAGTGTCACTGTCCCCACAGTCACAGTCCCCACAGAGTCATCATCCCCACAGTGTCACTGTCCCCACAGTCACTGTCCCCACAGCATCATTGTCCCCACAGTGTCACTGTCCCTACGGTGTCACTGTTCCCACGGTGTCACTGTCCCTGCAGTGTCACTGTCCCCGCAGCGTCATCATCCCCACGGTGTCACTGTCCCCATGGTGTCACTGTCCCCATGGTGTCACTGTCCCCACAGTGTCACTGTCCCCACATTCATTCACAGTGACAGTGTCACTGTCCCCCCCAAGCCAGCAGTGATGGCAAAGGGAGATGAGGGGGGGACACAGGGGACACTGTGACCCCCCCAGGAGCTGCAAGGGAGGGGCTGGGGGGGGGTTCAGGTCCCGAGGGGACCCCCATGATGGACCCTGTTTGGGACAGGGACACTGTGGGTGCAGAGTTGGGGTGCTCAGGGACCCCCATGATGGACAAAGTTTGGGACAGGGACCCCCATGATGGACCCATGGGACAGGGACCCCCATGACGGACCCAGTTTGGGACAGGGACACTGCGGGTGCAGATTTAGGGGGACCCCTGAGCCCCAAAAGTGGCTGCAGCCCCCTGGGGGTGTCCTCCCTGTCCCCCCTGTATCGCTGGGGGTCTGTACCCCACAAACACCTCTGTGGGGACCCCGAGGTGTCCTGGGGACAGGGAAGGACAATCCCAGGGCTCCAGGTCCCTGCAGGAGGAGACCCCGGTGTTGAGCCCGTTTTGGGGGTGCCGATCCTGCTCCCCTCAGGACCGACCCCAGGTCTGCCCCAGTGAGCGCCCCCCACTCGTGACACCCCCGTTCGTGGTCCCCAGGGCGTTCCCAGCTCTCCTGGGCTGGGCACGGGGGGATTTTGGGGCTCGGGGAGCGCTCGGGGGTCCCCATTGGGGCGCAGGGACAGCCAGGGTGACACCGGGAGCGATGCAGGGACATTTATTGGCAGTGAAGCACCTGGGGAGGGGACACGGGGAGGGGTCACGGGGAGGGGTCATGGAGAGGGGTCACGGAGAGGGGACATGGGGAGGGGTCACGGAGAGGGGACACGGGGAGGGGACACAGCAGTGACACCACTCAGGGTTTGGGTGCCTTGAGGTTGAGCTTGTCCCGGATCCAGATCCGCCCACACTGGAAGAACCCCTGGAAACGTTCCTTGACCTTGCCAAAGAAATCCTTGATCTTGGATTTCCAGCTCTGGCCAAACTGGGAAAACAAAGAGCGGTGTCAGACTTTGGGGGGGTGAGGAGGGGACCTGGGGGACCCCCCATGGCCGGGGGGACACGGAGCCGTTCCGGCCCCTCCTTACCACGGCCGGGGCCTTCTTGCAGGAGAGCTCCACCGTGGGCTGCTGCCCCTCCAGGAAAACGGAGCCCTGGCACCAGGTCAGCGCCTGTGGGGCACAGAGGGGACACAGCAGAGCCCAACCCCCTCGTGCCTCAGTTTCCCCACTGGCTAATCCCCAGTTCCCACAGGACGGAGCCTCACCCCGAGCCAGCGGCTCTTGCAGTCGCTGGTGGCCATTCCCGGTGCCCGGCACGTGGTTTCCTCCAGGGTGAAGCTCAGCTCCTGCCGGCTCTGCAGGTCTGAGGGCTGGGAAAAGGGAAAGGATCCATCAGGGATCCATCAGGGATCTATCAGGGATCCACAATGGGCCAGAGGAGCCCCAAGAGGAGCCACATCCAGCCTGGAACGGGTCAGGCTCAGCCCCAACTCGGCTGTGCTCGATCCCTCAGGGGTCAGACCCAAAACGGGACACATCCACCCTGGGAAGGGCCAGATCCGGCACTGCCCGGTCCTGGAGCTTCTCCTGGAAAGGGAGAGCTCAGCACTCACCCAGCCAGGCCGGGGCTGAGCCTCCCGGAGCCGCAGGACGTAGGGACTGACGGCCCTGGCGTTGAGCAGCTCCACGGCCGCCGCCACCACGGCCCCGTAGCTCAGGGACGAGGACGGCGCGGTTCCTTCCCATCCCAGCGTGGTTCCATTCTGTCCTGCCGTGGATCCGTGGGGCTCCGGCGTGGAGGCTCCTGCCAGCCCCAGGAGCAGCAGCAGCGGAGACAGCGCTCGGCACGGCCCCATCCCAGCTCCTGGATCCTGGATCCTGCTTCCCACCGGGCTGGGAGCGCTTTTATGGGAGCTGCCATGGGCGTACCAGGGGGCTGGGACAGCGGGACGTTCCAGGTGGGATGAATCTGGCCAGGAGCCCAGTCCAGCCCCCTCTGGTGCCCAGGTCAGCGGGGATGGGTGCATTGGGCACCTTTGGTCAGCAGCGGAGAGGGTTTGGGGTCCTGCTGCCACGGGGGTCCCCAGGGGAGGGAATGTGTGACCAGGAGGTGACAGCGGGGACAGACACGGCTGTGCGAGGCCCAGAGCGTGGTGGGATGAAAGGTCTGAGCCAAGGGAGGCTCAGGTTCTGCTCCCAGAGAACAGGGACAGGACGAGAGGAAACAACTCCCAGCTGGGCCAGGGGAGGTTCAGCTGGAAATTGGGAATGTTCCTTCCCCAAAAAGGCTCTCCAGGCCTGGCCCAGCTGCCCAGGACAGGGTTCAGTCCCCATTGCTGGAGGGATTTCAAATCCTTGTGGATGTGGCACTTGGGGACACGGTCAGGGGTGGCCTCAGCAGTGCTGAGGATTGAACTTGATGGTCTTGAGGACTTTTCCCCTCAGCAAATCCTCAATTCTCAGAAGATGGATGGGGTTTTCCAACCCAGGGGTGATTTATGGCCTGTCCCTCTCTGCAAACAGGGTGGGTCCCACCAAGCACCCAAGGTGGGAGCAGGAAGCTCCAGGAGGACACCCAGGATCCTGCCCCGAGGGTGAGCCTCGCTTCAGGCCCCTCTGGAGCTGCCCAGCAGGTTTGGAGCTGGGATCATGGAAAACATCCTCATAAATCACACAAAGACACCTGGAAATCCCCAGGGAGGGACGTGTGAAAAACGAGGTTCATGTATTTTTTACAGAATTTTTATAGAATTTAATTTTTTTATAAGAATTTAAAAGTTTAATAAAAACACAATTAGGAGATAAAAATAAAGTAAAATATACAGATACAGCCGGGTGTCTCTGCATTCACCTCACTGACAAAGGATTGTCCCTTAAAAACAGAACCCTACTACATATCCATAAATTCTCACATATTCAGACATTCTTCTGAGGATCTTTGGTGTTCTTCTGTTCAGTTTTCTCTTGTCCCCTTCCCAATAGATCAATCCTCTTGGCGCCATCGAGATTTACATTCCCTGATACCAGAAATGCAATAAATTCCTCTCCCACAACTCTGGTCAGGCTGTCTTCATCTGGATAAGAGAGTTTACAAATGCAGGAGTTCTTTAGCTATTTTTATTTTTGTTTTTCAGTCTTTGGGTTATACAAACAAAAGCAGTTTTTATTTTAATACTATGCCATAGCTTAACATATATGTATTATACCACTATTTCTAAGTTTTATCAATAACAAAAATAAACTATATAAATACAACAAAATTTTCCAATCTCATACACATAACATTCATTTTAATATTTGCAAAAAGCTAACAATCTAATATGTATCTATAACAAGTTCTTTCCAAACTGTCCTCCATTCCTAAAAATTCCCTTTAAATTTCTTCCATATTCTTCCCTGTTCTATCCCAGCTTCCCTCAATTTCAATTCCTTCCCAAAATTCCTCCCAACTCCTTCCAAACTCCTCAGTTATTCCCATTTTCCCCATGTATCCCACCTAGGATTTATCAGCAAGAGAAAGAGATTCAAAATAGATGTAATATATTTAAATCGCATTTTTAGGTGCCTCTGCCAGCTCTGAGCAAGCTCCAAAAAGCCACAAAATCCTTGGAGACCATTTTGGGAATAAAAAAGGGAAAATTCAGCGTGTTTTCCTTGGGAAGTTGTGATTCCCAGGATATCTCCCACCGCTTACAGGAAGTAAATCCCCCCAAAACCAAGCCCTGAGCCCTGGGCTGGGGAAATTCCCCGCTCGTAAATCTGGGTTTATTTGCCCTTCCCAGGATTGTGCTGTCCCTCCTCATTCCGGAACAGCCACGGGTTTGTCTTGGAGCTGTTCCCACAGCCAGACCTGATCTGACCTGGGCAGGGGAAGGTTCCCAGTCCCCGTCAGGGGCTGTGACTGGATGGGCTTTAACAATTCTGGGATTCTGGGATAATGAAGGGAGGGATCAGCTGGTCCATGATGGAATCATCCTGGAGTGGTTTGGGTTGGAATGGAGCATAAATCCCATTCCACACCATGGCCAGGGACACCTCGCACTGTCCCAGGCTGCTCCAAACCTGATCCCAGCCCAGCCTTGGGCACTGCCAGGGATCCAGGGGCAGCCACAGCTGCTCTGGGAATTCCATCCCAGCCAGGAATTCCTTCCCAATATCCCATCCAAGCAGTGGGAGCCATTCCCTGTGTCCTGTCCCTCCATCCCTTGTCCCCAGTCCCTCTCCAGCTCTCCTGGAGCCCCTTCAGGCCCTGCAAGGGGCTCTGAGCTCTCCCTGGAGCTTCTCCTCTCCAGGGGAACATTCCCAGCTCTCCCAGCCTGGCTCCAGAGGGGCTCCAGCCCTGGAGCAGCTCCGGGGCCTCCTCTGGACTCGCTCCAGCGTCTCTGTGTCCCTGCCCGTTCCCAGCCTGTTCCCTGCCCGTTCCCTGCCCGTTCTCAGCCCGCTCCCTGCCCGTTCCCAGCCCGCTCCCTGCCCGTTCCCAGCCCGTTCCCAGCCTGTTCCCTGCCCGTTCCCTGCCCGTTCCCAGCCCGTTCCCAGCCCGTTCCCAGCCCGCTCCCTGCCCGTTCTCAGCCCGCTCCCTGCCCGTTCCCAGCCCGCTCCCTCCGTGTTCCCGTTCCCCGCTCCAGGCCCCGGCGCGTCCCTGGTTTCCACGGCAACGGCACCGCCCTGGTCTCCATGGCAACCCGCGCCGAGTGGGCGTGGCCGCGCCTGTCAGCACGCGCGCTTCCGCGTTAGGCCACGCCCCATCGCATCCTCGCGCCTTAACCTGGAAGTGGCGCGTTCCCGCGCTCACTGGGCGGCGCCATGTTGGGAGGCCGTGCAGCAGCCGGGCCACGCGGCGAGCGCTGTGATTGGTGGAGCGCTGCACGTGACTCACAGATCGCACTGGGATTGGACGGCGGTGCCGCCGCTTCCGCGCGCGATGCTGTTGGGGTCGTGAGGGGAAGCCGGGAATGGGGGAAGGTGACGGGAGCCCCAGGCCTCAAAGCGCGCCTGGAGCCGGGACAAAGCGCTCCCGAGATATTCCACCGGTTTTATTGGCTTTCAAGTCCAGTTTCACCGTCCGCCCGGCACTGACGGGTGGGAATGTCCTTACAGGAATTGCGGAATCATGGAATTGTTGAGATCTGCAAAGCCCTCAGAGATGCCCCAGTCCAAGCCCAGCACTGCCCCGTGTCCCCAAGTGTCACATCCACAGGGCTTTGAAATCCCTCCAGCAATGGGGACTCCACCCCTGCCCTGGGCAGCTGGGCCAGGCCTGGAGAGCCCTTTCCAGGGGGAATATTCCCAATATCCCACCCAAACCTCCCCTTGAGGCCCTTCCCTCTGGTCCTGTCAGCAGAGCCCGACCCCTCCTGGCTCCAACCTTCTTCCAGGGAATTGCAGGGAGCCAGGAGGTGCCCCCTGAGCCGCCTCTGCTCCAGGATGAGCCCCTCCAGCTCCCTCAAGATGGTTTGGGAAGCTGAAAGCTCCAAAGTCAACACCCTGTGCTCCAGCGTCCTGGGGAACCTCCCGCTGCCAAAACCAGCACCAGCCATGGCAGGAGCAGCCCTTGTTACAGATATATTTTATATTGTATTTTTTCCAAATATTGGAATGAATGTTATATGTATAAGATTAGAAAATTTTGTTGTATTAATATAGTTTCCTTTATTTTTGTTATTGATAAAACTTAGAAATAGTGATATAATACATATATGTTAGGCTATGGCATAGTATTAAAATAAAATCTGCTTTTGTTTGTATAACCCAAAGACTGAAAAAAAATATAGCTAAAGAACTCCTGCATTTGTAAACCCTTATCCAGATGAAGACAGCCTGACCAGAGTTGTGGGAGAGGAATTTATTGCATTTCTGGTATCAGGGAATGTAAATCTCGATGGCACCAAGAAGATTGATCTATTGGGAAGGGGACAAGAGAAAACTGAACAGAAGAACACCAAAGATCCTAAATAGAATGTCTGAATATGTATGAGAATTTATGGATATGTAGTAGGGTTCTGTTTTAAAGGGACAATCCTTTGTCAGTGAGGTGAATGCAGAGACACCTGGCCCTATCTGTATAGTTTACTTTATTTTTTTATCTCCTAATTGTGTTTTTTATTAAATTTTTAAATCCTATAAAAATTATGTGAACCTCGTTTTTCACAGCCCCCATTCATGCATCCCAGATTTTCCACATGCTGCCCCCATTTCCATGGAAAACTGGGAAAGGGAACGAATCTGCGGTGCTCGGTTTGCTGGAATTTGTTGGAGCTTCCCTCTGTTCCTATAACAGCACCTGCCCTCTGGAAGGGCGCTGGAGAACATCCCAGAAATCACCTTTTCCTTGTAATGATCCAATTCCAGAGGCTGAAAAAGCTGCTGGGAATTCAGGCCAGGCTGGATTTCCCAAGAAAACACTTCCACGGGACTGGAACCGAACCTTTCTTTGTCCTTCCTTATACCCACCCCTCCACCCAACCCTCCCCTGGCACAACTTGAAGCTGTTCCCTCATCCTGTGCCTGTTCCCTGGGAGTGTTGACAAATATACAAAATTTAAATTTTCTTTATTTCGTTTCTCAGGTCGGGCTCAGTTTGTCCTTGCCTTGGGGAAGGGAATTAGTGCAGGTTTATTTTGAGGGTATTGTTCCACTCTGTGAGGCTTGATGACACCTTGGCAGACTGGGAATAGCCCAAAAAACACCGAAAAAATTAATGAGCATCAACAAACATCAGCAAACATCTAACCCCAGAGATTCCCCCTGGTCTGGAAAAGGCTGATAAATAAATCAGTTAGTGAGGAGCTAATTAACATCAGAGGCGAAGAAATCCCGGTTGGGTAAGAAACCAAATTCTGAGAACTCTGCAACTTGGGACCAACGAGCATTGAACCAATGGATTTTTATGGGTTTTGGACTGGATAATGTTTGGGGAAAATGGAATAAAACTCACCTGTCATGGAATGATTTTTGCTGCACACCTGGGCCATGTGTAGGTGAAGTAATTTCTGTTGCTCATCCCAGCCAGAAATAAAGAAATGCCTCAATTCTCTAACACTAAGAATGTTGTCGGAGGATTTTTGGTTTTCCCATAGTTGCGGTGACAGGAGCACAGCCTGGTCGGTTTTCAGACATGGATTTAACCCTTCCAGGGTTAATCCAAGCCATTCTAGGATTTCAGGATCCCATGCTTACTTTTCCTTCTTTCCTCCTTTGCGCCACACAGATCCTCCCCTTTCCCACTGCTTTTCTCCAAAGCCTCTCAATCACTCCCAGCTCACAGCAGGTCCCACATTCCCAGTTTTACCTCCCCTGATCCACCTCTGCCACGTTTCTCCTCCTGATGCCCCCAGGACTGGGGGAGATTGAGTGTTGTGCCTCAGGGAATCCAGTCCCAGTTTCCCCCTGGGAGTCAGGGCTTCCCCATCTCCCTCAAGTTATCGATCTGGATGACGATGGGCCAGATGCTCTTCTCTTGGGAGAACCCCTGGAGCTCAAACTTCTGGCACATGGAGTCCAATATGTACCTGACCGCCCCCAGCACGTCCCGGAACACGCCCTGGAGCGACATCCCCTGGGATTTCTGGGGTTCCACGCGCCCTCCAAGCTCCCGGCTGGCACCAGGATCCTCCAGAGGCTTTGCTCCCTCCCTCGCCCCTGCAGCCAGGTTTAGGGCAGCGGGTGAAGCCCCAGTTCCTGAAACCCCCAGCGGGGCACACGGTGCATCCAATGCCACCCCCTCAGCATTCCTGGCGCTCTGGAGCTCGCGCGGTGCGGCCGCATCCGTCGGAGGACGAACCCCGGGGTTCCTCCCTCGCGCCGCGCCGCGGCAGCCGGAGCAGCCTCTCCTCCAGTAGGGCCGGTAGCCACGCAGGATCTCCCTGGCTCTCCGGAGCGTCCTGCCGCAGCGGGATCGCCGCCGCGCCAGCCGGCGACGCACGGCCCAGGCGGCGCCGGCCCCATGGCTCCTCCAGGTGCTGCGCTGCCAGCAGTAGTTGTGTTCCCACAGGGAGCAGAGCTGGGGCACGTAGGCCATTCCCGGCTTGCTGCCAAGGGCGTAGCTATGGTCCTTCGCCACCGCTGCTCTCAGGTCCTCCACCCTCAGCTCACAGGTTCCTGGGAGAAGTGTCGCCTCTCCCAAGGTGTGTCCGTGGTTTTGGGCGTTCCTGTGATTCCCCTCCACAGGGTCATCCCACAGCTGTTCCCGAAGATCCAGGCTCTGCTGTTCCATCAGGGAATGAAGGAACATCGCGCTCTGGGTTAGCTCTTCCGTGAGTTCAGGTTCATCCTCCACCTCCTCCTTCACAAACCATGCCTGAGTTTGGCTCCCGACTCCACTGTCCGCTTCCGATGGGAGATTGCTCCTTCCCTCTTGACAGCCAAACTTCTGGAATCCCCTGTCCTGGAGACACCACAGCATGCTCCATCCTGCTGGGAGAGAGTGGGAAGCAGTTGGATCCTTCCTGGCTGGAGCAGGGCAAGGAACATCCCATCTTCCCAGTCTGGGACTGCCCAGGCTCCACATCCCAACCTCTGCCAGACATCAGGAGAACCAAGCAGTGGGAGAAGCCCTGGGAGTGGCCCAGGGATGGGGCTGGAGCTCCTCAGGGATGGGGCTGGAGCAGGAGGGAGCAGGACTCACCTGGACATGAGGTTTCCAGCCCCTGGTATCCGCTGGCTCTGGGCCACCAGCCAGAGGAAGGCTCCTCCAGGCAGCTCCCAGCGTGTCCTGCAGGGAAGATAGCAGATGTCACCAGCCAGGCCAGGAATTCTGACTCTCCACAGCCACGGGAATGAAGGAAGAACACTGTTCTTATCCCCACCAGGAATCCTGATTTCTCCACGGCCATGGGGACAGAGCAGGGAGCCCTGACCCCATCCTGGATGCAGATTCCATCCAGGGTCAGGATGTTGCTGCTCACCTGGGGGTGGGCAGATCCACGGCTCTTCCCCGCGCTCCAGCCGGTGCAGGATGTCGGGTTTGGGGCCTGGATAACCTGGGAATGGGACAGAGGGTGTTGGACTGTCCCTGATCACGGGAAAACCAAGGACTGGGACACCCCAGCTGTGCCTCATCGTGCACGGAAACACCTCTGGGATGTGGGAAAAGCGAGGGAGAAACTGGAGCTGCTGCCAGAGAGGGATTTATTCCCCGGAATAAGTGTGGGAAGCAGTTCCCAGTTCCACTGACAGGTTTTCCCAGCGAGGGAATGTCTCTTGCTCATCCAGGGGTGGGACATCCCACCGTGCTCCCTGATTTTAGGGATTTCCAGGGGTGCTCAAACCCTGGAATCCTGATCAGCCCCTACAAGGGAAAACTCTTCACGGGAAGGGCTGTCCAGACCTGGAGGGATTGGAAAGCCGTGTGGACGTGGCACTTGGAGACGTGGATTAGTGGTGGTCTTGGCAGTGCTGGGGAACAGTTGGATTTGGACATCTCCAAGGCCTTTTCCAACCTCAGCCATTTCGGGATTGCGGCATTCAGCACTCTGGAAGCCGCTGGGGTGGAATCTGAGGGAATCCCTGCCTGGAGCGATTCCCAGGATTACCCAGGGAGGTCAGGAGCTCATAGGTGTCCGACACGACGTCCCGGTAGAGCTGCCGCCGCCGCTCCGGGAGCGCGTCCCACTCGGCCCGGCTCAGGAACACCATCACATCCTCAAAGGTCACCGGCTCCTGCCACGGGATCAGGAATCACAGCTTCCCTCAAGGATCACACCCTCCCTCCCAACAGGAGCCTTTCCCAGCCCAACGGAGCTCCCAGGACGTGAGGCCATGGATGGGACAGTCCCAGGAATGTTGTTTCCCACCGGGGATCTGCGAGAGGACTCCAGCGCCAAACACGGATGGGTTTTACCGGGAGTGCTCCGTGGTGGGACTGGGATAGTCCAGGACCCCAGGTCAGTTGGAGCTGGGCACACAGGAGATCCCAACAGCTCCCTGTGACCCCCAGGGCCCATCCCAGGAAATCCCTTGGGAGCGATCCCAGTGGGGATGGGGGAACAGGGAGGCAGAGAGAGGGAGGGGAGGGATGTGAGGGGGAAATTTGGGGGTTTTTGGGGGGGATTGGAGGGATGGAATGGGCATTTTAGGGGCTGATGGGGATTCTGGGAGTGATGGGGATTTTGGGGGGGTGATGGGGTGGGGTGGGGGGTGATAGGGGATCTTCAGGGGAGAATTTCATGGGAGTGGGGGGCAATGGATGGGGTGATGGGGTGGGGTCGGGGCTGTGACTGGGATGGTTTCGGGGTGATTTGGGTTGTCGGGGTGGGGCTGGGGGGGTGAGGGGGCGCTGCGGGATCCCCTCGGACCAGGGGGGGACCGGACATCGAAGGCCCGGGAGGCGGCGAGGGCGGCCCGGGGCCCTCCCCACCAGCGCCCGCCTCCTACCTGCGCCTGCCCGGCCATGGTGGCCGCGGGGCCCCGGGGGGGTCGGGGGATCCCGGGGGATCCCGGGGGGGGATCCCGAGGCGG